TCTACAGGATTCCTGCAATGTCCCTCCATACTTCCACTCACACACTGCAGATTTTTGCTTGTTTGTTTTTAATTTTGCAGTCCGTTGGAGGTAAACATGCGTGTCTCTGTGAGTCAGGCTTTCGCTGGTCTAATCCCAGGTGAGAGTCAGCACTTTCCATATACTTCCACGCCATCTGCATACCCTCCCCTGCCAACTGTCTTTCTTTCCCCGTGAAAAGTTTTCATTTTGGAAAACATTTCTTGCCAGATAAAGTTGTTGAAATCTTTCTTGATAAGTTCTTGGAAATTAGCCTTTAATGTGTACGGCTCAATAATTATGTTCGGTTAAAGGATTTCGTAGGTAATGTTTCTCATTTGGCATATTGTAAATGAACCATTGTAAGGTTAACATTTCAAATTACCTCTCAGTGCTCTGTAGGAACGCTAGTTTTGACCTGTGAGTTATCAAAATCGGGCAACTTTTTAATAAGTTTGCTGATTTATCTTAGGATTCTCTTAGATTTCTTTAGGCAGATAATCACAGTCAGCTGAAAAATTATGTTTTGTGATTCCTAACCTCCAAAGTGTGTTCCATTGAATTTCCTTGGTTGACTTCACTGCCTACACATGTGCCCTGCTCGACAGAAACATGCAAACATCAGTTATTTATTATCTACTGTTGTCTGTCATTGTTAGTGTTTTAGTGCTGGAATTGAATCCAGTGCCTTTGCATGCCAAGCACTTGCTCTCCCAGCTCTATCTCCACTCAGATACACATTTGAATTTATATGTTCTAATCAACACATCCATATGAGGGTGACAGAGATGGCTCAGTAGGTACAGCACCTGCAACTAGGCCTAAAGACCTGAGTTTGATCACCAGAGCATACAGTGGAAAGAAACAGTTGATCCTCTAACTCGTCCTCTGACCTCTTCAGAAGAATTGTGACCTGTGCAGGTATGTACACATGTGTGTGCACATGCACACACACACATACACACACACACACACACACTAAATAAAAACTTTAAGAGTATCAAGATAAATTGAATTTGGAAGTATATATTGCTTATGCAACAGATTCTTCACCAATATTTCAGCCTGCGAACAAAATAAAATAATTGAGACGTTTTATATTATTTTCTACTGTGAAGTCTTTGAGATAGGTGTGAATTTTCTTCTTACAGCATCTCTCTGGGGACCAGCCTTGTTTCAAGGGTGCTCACAGGGGTTCGTGCCCTCTGCTCGGAGTCAGCATTGGCTGTGCAGTCATGTGAGCTAACAGGGTAAAATTAAACATCTTTGTTTTTCTACTCAGAAGGGTAGGGCTTGAACACCGTCTTAAAGTCAGAATTTCTAGCATTTCTTTGGTTCAGAAATTTTATCATTTAAAGAACTTCCTTCTATTTTCAATTTTGGTATTTTTTAAACATAAATAAATTTTAAATTTGTGGATGTTTACAACTTCTGGGATTGTCAGAACTCTCAGCTATTCAGTAAACAGCAGTGAGCATTCTCTCTCCCCTCTCTCTTAGTTTTGGGCTGTTTTGTTTTTAAATGAATCGCATACTCATCAGACTCAGTGAAGCAATTTACACACCTTTAGTTAAGGGTTCCCTTTTCTCATACCCTCACCAGAACTTTTTCTTATCTGTCATCTCAATGGTAGTTATTCTGACTAGCATGAGGTGGAATACCAATGTATGCAATATGAATTTCCCTGATGGTTAGAGCTTTAGGCAATTTTTTGCACATGGATATTTTCACACTGTGTATTTCATTTCTTGAGAACGTTCACTTCTTGAGGTCATGTATGGTATTGATAGGGTTGTTTTTTTCTGGTACTTAGATGGGGGGTATATATACTAGGTATTAATCTCAAGTCAGCTGTAGAGCTAACAAACTTTTCTCTTTTGTGGGCTGTCTTTTCACTTGAATATTTTTTTTTTGGCCATGCAGAACCTTTTTAGTTTGATGCAATCTCATTTGCCAGTTTTCAGTTTTATTCCCTGTGCTAATAGAGACTTTTCCAGACATGTTGAAATATGAGAGGAGGGGCTGCGTCCCCAACACCCAGGCCGCTTGGCTAGCTCATGCCCGAAATAACAACACACAAACTGTATTCATTTAACTGCTTGACCCATTTCTATCTAGCCTCTTCTACGCTAATTCTCACATATTAATTTAGCCCATTTCTAATCATCTGTGTAAGCACCCCAAGGTGCGCTTACCAGGAAGATTCTAGCCTCCGTCCATCATGGTGTCTCTGCTCCAGAGCGCAGAGCTGTTCGGTCCCTCTGGAAGCAGAGCAGAGTCTGCCCTCACTTCCTCTTCCGCTCAGCATACTATCCTGTTTATTCCGCCCACCTATCTTTTAACCTATCAGGGCCAGCAGTTTCTTTATTGCTCAGTCAATGAAATCAACAGATTGATATATGACACTCCCACATCACAGACAGCCCTTGCCTATTCCTACATCTCGAAGTGTTTCCCATTTCCTTCTAACTATTTAAGAGTTCCATGTCTCAAGTGAATATTTTTGATCTTTACTTGGCTGGATTTTGTGCAGTGAGACATAGGGATCTGTTTCCATTGACTTACATGTGGATAGCCAGGTCTCCCAGGCCCACCTGTTGAAGGGACTCTCTTTTCTCCCACGTATTTGTCTTGCTGAGCTGGGTAGGTTTTTCTCTGGAGCCTGCATTTTCTTTCATTCGTTGATCTACATGTCTCTTTTTCTCTCTGCTATGTTACTTTGTACTGTAACTTGAATGATGGGGGAGAGTCTTCTGTTTTGTGTTAATTTCATTGGTTAAATAAAGAGACTGCCTTGGCCCTTTAATAGAACAGAAAATTAGGTAGACAGAGTAAACAGAACAGAATACTGGGAGAAAGAAGCAGATTCAGTGGGTCGCCATGATTCTCCCACTCCAGACAGACGCAGGTTAAGATCTTCTCTGGTAAGACACTTCGTGGTGTTACAGGGATATTAGAAATGGATTAGATCAATATGTAAGAGCTAGCTAATAAGAGGCTAGAGCTAATGGGCCAAGCAGTGTTTAAAAGAATACAGTTTCCATGTAATTATTTCAGGGTATAAGCTAGCCAGGCAGCTGTGAGCTGGGGCAGCAGGAACACAGCCCGCTGCTCAGCTCCTCACAACACTTGAAGTCATGTGTGATGGTGGTAGGTCCAGCAACATCCATTTTGCTGAAGATTGCTTTAGCTAATTGGTGTTTTTATGATTCTGTATGAATATTAAGATTGCCTTTCCTATTTCTTTGAGAATGTCATTAGAATTTTGAAGGAATTGCATTGAATCTGTAGATTTAACTTTGATAGTGTAGTCATTTTAATCTATTAATTCTTCCCATACAGGAGTATGGGAGCTTTTTGTGTCCTTTCCAGTTTCTTTTATTTCTTTAGAAATTTTATTATAGAGATCTTTCACAGCCTTGAGTACCTTGTTGTCTAATTATTCTATGTTGGAAGCTAAAGTAAATGGGATGGCCTTCCCAGTTTCTACCTCAGCGTGTTCATTATTTTCCATATGTTGACTCTGTCATACTGTTCTGAAGGTGTTTATTTGTTCTAGAGTTTTCTGGTAGATCTTTAGGGTCTTATGTATAAGATCACACCATCTTCAAATAGGAGTAAATTTCACTTCTTGCCTGAAAATAAATTCCCAAGTACTCCTTTATATTTCTTAAAACTTTAAACTTAAATTGTCATTCTCTATTAGCAACTTGGGCTACCAATGACAATCTTGCTGCAACACTTGCTCTCAACAATGGTGGAACAATCTGATTCTCTCTCCCTCCCTTCCTCCTTTCCTTCCTCCCTCCCTCTCATCTCACCATTGTGGGGTTTTGGGAATGCTTATTGGCATTATTCCATTCCTCTGACACCTTCACAAATTTGCAGTTCTGAAGTCAGAACTTGCTTCGATTTTCTTCTGCCATATGCCACGCACTTACGATGCCCTCTTGATGGTGCAGAGTCTTCTAGATGTGTCCTTCTTCATTAACTCTTCTTACCCCTTTGTACTGTACTCTAGAGGAATTTCATGAATCAACTTCCTAGTCTGTTAATTTTCTCTTAAGGAGTCTTCTAATTGCATCTCCGCCCTGCCGGTTCTTACTGTTAATGTTTAGGAAAAGCCGACTTTGCCCTCTCTCCCATTTAAAGTTACTGTTCTAACTCTTTCCTTATGTGCATTAATTTTATTTCGTAAACATGCCTTTGAATTAGTTCTAGCTTCCTTTAAATTATTTATCTGTTTATTTAGTGGGTGGTTGGGTCCCACTATATTACCCAGACTGGCTTAGAACTTCAGGTCCTGCTGCCTCAGCTTACCAAGTGCATGCAGCTGAAAAAGTGTGTGTTTTACCACATCTGCATCCTTCTGCTTATTTTCTTAAAATGTGAGTTTAATTGAAGTCTCTGCCCCTCTTGTGTGACAGTCTCTGTCTGATGATAGAAATATGTATTTCAAGGATTTCTGTTTAGATGATGGTTCTCTGCCTTGGATTACAGTGTTGTTGTTGTTGGAGATTTTCTTTTTCTGTCTTTCCTAGGGATTTGAAGACAAAAGGACAAGTGGTTTGTGCACATGACAATCTAGTCTTTTGCCTGATGCTTTCTAATTAAGTGTCAATGTTTATTATGTCCTAATATGGTCCGTGGGCAGTTGCCACTGATTGGTATTAGTGCTCTGGTAGTTTTGTGTGACAGTGGAAACTGACATTTCAGTTGACAACCATGTAGGAACTAACTGAGGAACAAGCACAGATCCAAGTTGTCTGAAAGGTTTTTTTTTTAATTTTTGGAGTTTTGTAAAAATAATAAGTGTGTGTACATGTGTGTGTCTGCATGTCTATGTGTCTGTGCATGTATGCATTGCCATGTGTTTGTAGTTGCCCTGGTGTTAGTGAGTGTCAGATCCAAAAAGGTTTGAGTAACAGGCAGCTTGTGAGCCACCTGGTATGGGTGATGAGAAGGACAACAAACCCTCTTACCTGCTGAGCCATCCCTCTGGTCCCTGAAGAGTTTTTGTTCACATCTTTGGCGAGTTCAAGTATCTTTGGGAGAAGAGAAACATTTCTTCAGTGACATGGTGATGAACAAGCTGCCTGTGCATATGTAAATAACTCTGCACCTGTGCTCCACTGAATAATCTGATTAAACCCCCTGGATCACCAAAAAGAGAAGAAGGAGAAAAAGGGGGAGGGAGAGGGGAGGGAAGGAGGGGGAGAGGGGAGAGACAAGTAGGACAGGAAGCAGATGGGGGACTCCTTGGGAAAAAGAAAGAAATGAGCAGGAGTCAGGGGACAGAGTAATGAGGATGCGAAGGATCAAAATGCATAAATGAAAATTTCACAGCTAAGCAACTAATCATGTGATAACAAAAACACAAACAAATAAATATGAAACATAACATAATTTGCCAATATAAAATACTGCCTTACTGAGCAAACAAGGTAAAAAGCAAGCATCTGTGCGAAGTTCTTGATGGCTCAGATGACGATGCCTTATGTGGAAAATATATACCAACAAGTAACACAAAACTGTTTTAGACAAAATAATTCTGAATATGAGATGGTTTTAGGAATTCTTATTATTTTGTCTTTTGAAGTTTCATAATTAATATGACATTACAAATAATGATGTGTATGTCTAAAAGAACTTTAAACACAAAATATAAATGTTTTGTGATTGAAAAAAACCAAAATAGTAGTGTTATTGTTCTATAAAATAAGGAGTGGCATTTTCTTCTCTAGGTGTGCCTTCAAGTTGGTGCATTATATGGTTTGAAGTTGGTATCAGACCTAAAGAAGAAAATGGAATCATTTGAGAGAGTAAAGAGGTATTTTTAAACATTTTTAACTCCTTACAGTATATAAGCCACCACACTAGCCCCTGTGGAAAGGGGAGCAAATTGTGGCTCAAATGAGAACCTCTGTTGGAGCAGAAGTCAATGAGATGGAGCATATGCCTATCTCAAGCTGTAAAGATTCGCCAACAGCCACCTTCTCGTGTAGGGTAAGGAGAATCTACTGAGACTGGAATGGTACCTTCTGGTCCAGACTCAGGAAAACCTCAATGATAGTCATTTGAACTTAGGGCTATGATGGCCAGATAAAAATGCTGGAAAAGACCATGCAGGGAGAGACTACCACACAGGTCTGTTCATTAATCATTAAACAGCGGTGTGAAGCTACATCTTGTGTTGTGAGGACCAGCGGTGGCTTACGAGGCACAGTTGGGGCAGAGAAGGTCTCAGAGGGTAAGCAGCCTTGGTACTTGGGCTTCATTGTTGGAGGAATTGGAAACCATTGCTTGGGTTTCATATTGTAAGTAGATCTGATCACGATTTGGTGATGGGTAAGGATGATAACCCTGCAGTGTGTAAGGTTGCATTGGGACTGGGGAAGTGGCAAGTTGTATGGGGAAAGGCCTGAGCAGATGGAGGAGAGCAGGAATGAAAGCATACGGACCTCAGACCTGAGGCATGCGCAGTGATTAAGTGGGTCTGTGGTATCTACACACAGCCATTCTCAGGTCTCATTTCTCTTTGCTCATATATCAAGTCTGTCTTTATTGGGAGGTTTCTGCATCAGCCTCCTTGTCAGTTGGCTCTCCCTATCCTCCCCGCTCCACCCTGCTGGTGTGGGCTGATGTTATCAGTTCTACAGAGAGCTGCTGGGAACTGGCCTTTGTAGACAACTTTCAGTTTCCTTTGAGCAGCTGTCCCTCAGAACCCTGCAGCTCACTAAAAAGCAAGCACAAACAAAAAATGATACCACCCTGCCTGGCACACCCAAGGTGAGACCCAGTGTTATCTCTCACACTGGAGACTCTTTGGATGATTTACCTGTGGTTGAAATGGTAGGAGTAGAAAGGAGGCGCGAAAGTCACCCTACCCCTTCTCATTCACATACACACACACACACACACACACACACACACACACACAGCGTTCCTCCTTTGTGAGCTGCCTCTTCCAGACAGCAAACTGCGCATTCTCTCTGACTGTCACTGAAAGCATCCAGGCGCTCTGGCTTTGTCTGATACCATGGTGCTTTGACACATTTTCATGATGGACTCCATTTAAGCTCAAATGATGGACTCGTGAACCTGTGTTCGTGTGGATGGGCATTCCTGGATTGCTTAGCCATTGTGAACAGCCCACCCCAGCTCACACAGTGAGGGAAACAGCATTTTGAGCGTTTTCACCTGCATGCTCTTAGCAGGGATGGGCTCCCCAGTCTTGATCCCAGATTTCAGCTTTTCTGAGTTGTGCATCCCCTGGTGTGTTCCCCTAGCAATCCAGAAAGTGAGAGGTTTACCCTCCTTTTGGGTGGAAGCTCTTCTTGTTCAAGACAATGTGCATAGAGAGACGCTTCACATGGGGACTTATTTCCATGTGTGCGAGGGCCCTTCACACACATGATGCCCCCTGCGGATCAAGTCAAATGGTGCATGAGTTAAGATTCAGCACAGCTATAGAGGGTATGTACAAGAACACATATGGTTATGTGATCTTACATGTAATTAAACATAACACAGGATATATAGGATTTTGATATACAGGATGAAATATAAAGCTATAAAGTATAGTGAATACATTATTATATACAAATATATACATATATGAAGAGAGAGGATAAAGATGTGGCTCATGAATTTAGGGAATGGGAAACTTTGTCTACAAGCTCAAGTCCCATTGCTGATGGTAAAGTTCCATTGTGCATTGAATCCTGAATAGAAGGCATTCAGTGGCGTAAAAACAAATCCAAGAGAAGACAAAGGAAGAGGAGGGAGACCTCGGCCTCACTCCTGCATGCAGAAAGGAAAGGGTTCTCAGACAGATTACAGCCACCTTGTTCTGTCCCTGCCCACAGCAGCTAGTGGACGGCGCCTGCCCACACAAGATAGGGCAATGTGTTTTAACAAGTTCATGGATTCAAACAGAGTTTTCATCTAGAAACATGCTTCATAGATGACTCCCAAACAAAAATTTATCCAGAAACCCCAAGGAAGAGTCAACCAACACCCAAAATCAAGCATCCTGAACTTCAGCTACTGTATTTGCCTCGCCCTGGAGGGGTTTATGTTGTGAGGCTGTGATTGATGCTGGAGATTGAGTAGGAGCCTGACCATCATCAAAGCTTACAGTCTGCCTTGGTTAAGCTCACCATGACCAAAGAAACTTGGAAAGAAAAGGGTTTATTTGGCTTATACTTCACATCACTGTTCATGACTGAAAAAAAGTCAGAACAGGAACTCAAACAAGGCAGGAACCTGGAGGCAGGAGCTGATGCAGAAGACTTGGCAGGATACTGTTTACTGGCTTGCTCCCCCATGGCTTACTCAGCCTGCTTTCTGATAGATTCCAGGACAACCAGCTCAAGGATGGCCCCCCCCCACAATGGGCTGGGCCCTCCATGATCAGTCACTAAGAGACTGCCCCCACAGGCTTGCCTACAGCCTCATCTTTATGAAGACATTTTCTTAATTGAGGTCCCAACCTCAGATGACTTTAGCTTGTGTCAAGATGATATAAAACTATCCAGCACACAACTTAAAAGGGACAAAGGTGATTAAACACCAAATAGCATGAGTCTTAAGCTAGGGGATGTACTTTAGGGCTTTACAATTAAATCAAATGTATATTCTGACTGGGGGAGTCAGCACTTAAGCTAAGATGTTAGGAACCAGTAAGCGTTAAACAAGCCTAAGGAGGTGGTCGAATGTATTTCAAAAACAGGGAACAGTATATGGAAAGGAATGAGCTGTTGAAATGATGATGGAGCTGGAAGAATGGATAAGCTGTGCAGAAAGCAGGAAGAATAATGAGAGCAGAGGGTAGGGAGCACCAGCGTGGGCCAGACCAGGAGAGTCCTATGAGGACTTTAATAAGTTCTTAGCATTACACTTTAGGAGGTTAGCAATGCTATTGCATCAATAGTAAGGGCGTGGGCACGGCTGAATGGTGGCTGCCAGTACTTAGGTCAGACAACAGTAGTTGGTAGATTTCGGAACATGGGAGTGTGGCAATCTGAAGAACAATCAGTAAGTAGAGATACTGGGGTTCTGTGGTACATGCTAAACAGAGAATGAGGATGTGAAAAAGTTCAAGGACACCAAGAACTGGCTGACTGCTGGGAGGTACCAACACAAGCCAAAGAGAAGCAGGGTCCAGATCCATTGTAGACTATTTGTACACGGCGTGAATATGTGTTGCTGTGATTGGTGTAATAACAGCCAATAGCTAAGCAGGAGAGCTAGACAGGACTTCTGGGCAGAGAGGAGAATAGAGGTTCATGGGAGATGCCAACAGAACAAATTGGATACACAGGACAGAGGAAAGGTAACCAAGCCATGTGACAGGATGTAGATCAATAGAAATAGGTTAATTTAGCTATAAGAGCTAGTTAGGAAAAGAGCCTAAGCTAAGGCCAAGCTTTCATAATAAATAAGACGTCTCTGTGTCATTATTTGTGAGCTGGTAGGCCAAAGGACAGTCTTACTACACAGGTCTTCCAATATCATAGCACCATATGGTGAATGCCCGGTGCCCCTAGAATTAATCACACACCCTTACTATGCCAAGGGAAATGTCCATTGTGAGAAAGAAATGGGGGATGTGACCACGTGAGGCTCAGTCTCTCTAGGAATGTGATTATTTCCGGGGAACTATCCATGCAGCTGTAACAGTCCCTGAGATCTGGTTCATGGGTACTGAAGCATCTTTGCCCTGAATAGATGATAGAGTTTAACTTCTATCTCAACTGTCATACTTTCCTGACCATGCCTGCCCTCTTCTGATCTTGGAAGCCAGGCAGGGTCATACCTAGAATATACTTGGATGAGAGTTCAACTTATAAATTAGGCATGGTTGGAGATGAAGAATAGCTAATAAAAAATAGAAAAACTGTAGGTAAGTCTTTCAGTAAAATTTACTTAGGATTCAAGTGTTGTAAGGAGGCTGCTTGTTGGTTCCCGGCTGCTCAGCCCCAAAATAATCACACAGAAACAATATTATTTAAATCACTTGGCCCATTAGCTCTAGCTAATT